TGACATGTTATAAATAATTAATACACAGCTCATGTATTACTCTTCCTAAATCGTGTATATAATTATTTTATATAGTCCATATATTTGAGTAAAACATCTTGTTGGTGTATGAATTTGGGCTCTTAATTCAATTTGATCACCCGTCTCAAATTTGTTATCATTTTGCCAAACTTTACGTTCTTTTTCAAACTGGTCATTTCATTTGTCTCCGTTGTGTTGTTTACTGAAATGAGTTGACGAATAAATCAATGATGTGTTAGTTTGTTTCATCCACAATGGCAATATCCATTTTGGCATCTTGTTGTTGCGGTCATTACAGTCAACGATATACGAACATTCCTGAATTAGCCACTGTATGTGATACAATCAATTAAATAAAATTTGACATGATAAGTGTCAAATATTGTTTATTTTGCTTTCTTCAGTCTTGCTTAATATTGTTACATGTTGGTTCATTGGTTATATATAACTATCATAAGACAAGGCAACTTAATATTTTGTACGTCATTCTCTTTAATTATGTATAATTTATTCACTCAATGTATCAAAGTGACACTTTATTTTTCTAATAATGTGACACTTTATTTTTCTAGTAATGATATTTAGATTCAACGACTACAATGGTTACATGTGTGGCATCTTGCCACTTAATAGTTTATTGTAATTTTACAGTCACAAACAATAAATTAATGTCTCAAATAATATGGTCATATAGGATGACTATTACTATAAACAGGGGTGGATTCAGGCTAGGGCCCATCCTCGTCGAAGCCCACAAAATGTGTTTGTAAATGGACTAAATCTATTTTTTGGCCCAATTTATTACCCATTTAAACCCAAACCCAAACCCAAACCTAATTTTAATCCAATTTTCTTTCTTTTGACATAACTGAGACCATAGCACATAGAAGACGGTGATTCCTCTCCACTCTCCAACCCGTTACTTGGCAACCAATGTCTTCAAACTTCTAAATTTTCAATCCCTCTATAAAATTTCTACAAAATTAAGAAACCCATTACCCAAATCAAATATCTCTTCTCTTAAAAGTTCTTTTACTCCAGGCTTTTGAACTGGACAACTGGTAAGTATTTTCGGTTTCAAAATTCAAAGTTTAGTAACTTTAGTTTCTTAGATTTTATTACTTGGGCCATTTTTTATATATATTTTTCATTATTAATTTAATATTGATTACTGAGTATGAGTTTTTGAAAAATTCAAGTTTTTTTGTTTTTGTTTGCAGTTTGTTGAAATGGCATGATGAATTTTTTTTTTTTTTTTTTTAGTACTTGAGCATTTTTAAAATTTTTTGATTTGAGAATTCAATTGATATTAATTTTGACAATAGCTTTTCACCTTAATTAGATTGTGGAATAAAAGTTTATTCTAAATTGTAATGCAGAATTCTTCTTCATCAACAAGCTTAATTGAATTATTTTTAAATTTCAAAATGTGGTAAATATTTCATGGCACAGATGCAGACCCGCATACATGTAGGAAAGGGAAACTACAAAAGCTTAAATATACTCCCCAGTAACTAAATGTCGTCATCTCCTACTTGTGGCCTTGCTGCCAAAATATTGAAATTGTTGCCTACTTGTCTTGTTGGTCAATTAGTTAATTAATTATTGTGAAAATGTTGCCTTGTCAACTTTTGTTGACATATTTACTTTTAAATTTTAACCCGTGCGCAAAAAATTCCTGAATCTGCCCTAGACTATAAATAACATTACTCTTATTTTTCACACGTTTTATTCGTCTCACCTAACCTTCAAAAAGGACAGAAAAAATGATCGGTGAGGAGTGGAATTTAGGTCCACACAGCTCATATGGAAATGAAGTTTTCAAGTTAGGCCCACAGCAAACTCGACGTTGGAAGAAAAGTTGTGGAGGTGTTTCAAGAAAAATAATGTCATTTTCTTGATTTCAAAACAAATAACCCAGAGGCATTGCGCCGCCCATTAATGTAGGGCTGGTGTGTACGCATAGTTGAAGACAAATAGACACTGACCATAAAAAATGAGTAATTGTTTTAGATATTCGTTAGTGTGCATTAATGTAGTACCCTTTGCTTGTATAAACTAACAAATTAATCTTTATATTTTCTTTTCCTTATTAAAGAAAACTGTTTGTTGAAGAAATTGATGGAAGTGGGAGGACAAAAGGGCACTTGAAAAAGGAAAAGATTAACTTGTAGAAATGATTCAATTATCAATAGTAGAGAATCGGGAAAGAGTTAGGATTCATTCAGCATGACTTTTGAAAAGTTGAAAATTAAATTTGAGATTAAGAATTCTTTTGAACGTATTTGGATAAATTTCTAAAATTATGTTGTCTATTAGAAATGTTTTTAGGAAGTTGGCTTAAGTAGAAGCAAAATAAAAAACGAAAGTAAAAGCAGAAGCAGAAGCAAAAGCCTTATCTAATGGACGTTACACCTCATGACATTTTTCTTTTGAAGGCCTATTTAACACAAAAACAACGAAATAATTCTACTTGTACATAATGGAGTTATATAATTGTTTACATACAGACAAGAATTCAAAATGACGATAGAGAATTTCATTTTTTTAATTTTATTGAAGATACTCTAATCTAATTATACCTCACCACATCATGTATATGTAAACCATTATATCCATATAGCAAAACCGAAAATAACAAAGGCAAGTGATGGTAAGTAAAAAGAGAGGTGATTAGTGATGGCCTGGTTCTTGGCTGGGCATATAATTACTTCATCGAAAATCCCATTTCCATGGTGAATGAAGTGTGATAACCTCTTAACGAATGTTTTTCAAGTTCGTTTAGTGTTTTGAATTCTATTATTATTGATTTCATTTTCATTTCATGTTTTAAGACGGAAGCTCTAAAAATGACTTGTATTAATGAAATTGACAAGAAAACAAAGGAATTGAAGCAAGAAGGAATCATGTCAAGAGAGGGCCTGAAATGGAGTCCAGAAAAGTGGAAAACCCACACGGACAAGCAGTTCAAATGCATAGCATAATGGGAACTAGCTCACCTATTTGTGACTATTAGAAAATGAGACCGTGTTTGGTGACTTTTAATTTAATTTACTTTTCACTCATTTTCAATTACATATTCACATAATAAAATATTTTATACATAAAATCAAATTTTATCCATACTTTTTAACTACACATTCTTTAAAAAATACTATTCAAAAAATAGTTTTTTCAATTTAAAAGGCCACCAAAAAGGGCTGAATTAGGCTTGAAATTTTATGTGATTAAAGGTATCTTTCAAACTTCAGATGCACTGATTTTTTAGGACATAACAATACAATCCTTTAAGAATAAAGTTATCTAACACCATTAGTGTTGAACGTCGTTCTAAGTATTAGCATATCATAGGTCCAACTAAATGAATCATAATTTCTTGTATTTAGTCGAACAAGTAATTACTCATCCTTTAAATACAATTTTTCTTTCACAATTAAGGGGGACTAGAGGGGAGGTTGGATGAGATTTTAGAGAACAAGGAGAGACATACAAAGAAGAAAAAAGGGGGGAAGAAGGTCAAAACTCAATTTTACTCCAAGATTTTTTTAAAGTTGTTACTTTAGCCTGTTTGAAAACTCACAAAGTCTAACATCATACCTTAATCTTTGTAACGCTTTCATTCTTTTTCTTCGTTCTTAAATATGTATAAATTTGAGTTTCTAAAAATTGGATTTTTACTTAAATTCATTTAAAATTAGTCAAACACGTGGAAACTGAAAACCAAGCATCAAGTATTTTTAAGGGCCTGTTTGGGCCTGATTTTTTCACCCAAAAAATTGATTTTTTTGACCGTTATTTTACTATTCCAGTCGTCATATTTGACTTTTTCTCTCACAGGTGGACCCCACTTTTTCCTAACGGTCAAAAAATCAATTCTCAAAATCACTCCCAAACAGGCTATAAGTTTAAGAACATTTTTCTTCACTGTATTTTCGATAAAATAAACTAAATTAAATTATTTGAAATAGACTCAAAAAAATAAATAAATTATATCATTGGCCATGCTTGAGCCTCATTTTTGGAGGAAAATGAGATTTGAAATAGTGAATTTTATAAGAATATGTAGTTAAAAAATAAGGAAAAATTTTGAATCTACATATAAAATTATATGCAAGAATGTCTAGTTGAAAATGTGTTTTGGAAAAATTGGACCTAAAAACATATATAGGCATACATAACATCAATTCACTCTCATTTTCACTTTTAAAATGTTCCACCCGAGTTTTTAATTTATATGCAATACTTTTTAGTACGATTTATGGGTTCTTTTATAAGGTTTATGATTTCAAAAAAATAGGACCCTCGTTTGGTAGCAATTTTTCACCCCAAAAAATTAATTTTTTTATTGTTATTTCACTATTTCAGCCATTATTTTTTACTTCTTTACTCACAAGTAAGACTCACTTTTCTCTCTAATGGTCAAAAAATCAATTCTCTTAATCACTACTGAACATGCCCTAAATGTTGATAAAAGTTGATTAAAAGTATGGTTAAAATGTCGGTAAAAATGTGGGTTCCATGAAATACATGATTAAATTTAATTGTTAATTTTGACCTTAATCCCAAACAAGCACTTAGGATCCATTTGACAAGACTTTTAAAAAGCCAAAAGCGACTTTTGAAATTAAAAAATTGCTTTAAAAATATTTAAATAATTTTATGAAAATACGTTGTCTCAATAGAAAAGTTTTTAAAATGAAGCTGACTTAATATAGCTTTATCAAAAAGCTTTTTACAAAAAATAGAAGCAATAGCAAAACAAAAGTTGAAATCCTACCAAACATGCCTTTAGTCGAATATATCGAACAACTCCCAACCGTTATTATTAAATTAGAATGAACCTTGATCTAACCTAAGTAGTTAAATCAATGAAGACCTGAAAGCAAAGCTGATCACTGTGGACATTAGACTTTTTTGTGTGTACCGAGAAATGTCAAAATTCCTACAAATGCTGACTTTAAAAACCAGAAAAAATACACACTGATTTTTGTCGATATTCACTTCCATTTCATTTTCCAGATACATTTCGTATTTATTGATTCTTACAAGGGTCTCGACGTTCAATTGCGTTTTGATCTTCTTCAATCTCTAAGGTAAATGCTTGCTTTATAATTTCAATCTTGGCTTTTTCTTTACACTTGTTTAATTTATTTACAACAATTGAATACATGTGAACGAACTCAGATGGGTTTGATTGAATTGTTTTATGTTTACCAATTTACAATTTTTAATATCCTTTGTATATATTTTGATGAGAATATAGTCATTATATTTAGGATTTCGATGAATTAAGTTAATGCATAGTTATCAAATTAAAAAATAGCATACATAAAATAAATAGCAAAATTAATTAATCTTTGTTCGTTTTCTAAATTCAAAGGATATTTATCTATATGAAAATATGGAGAATCTTGTTTATCAAGGACCCGTTTTTGTGTTTTAGGATTTTTATTTTATTTTATTTTATTATTATTTTTTTTTTTTTTTAGAGGAATTTAGGTCCCAGTAGGTAGTTAGCAAATCTTTTTTGCAGTTAGAATATGAAGTTTGGGAATTTACATTTCCCTTGAAGCTACATAAGAGTATTTGGGGACTGAAATTCTGAAATTTGAACTATTTTACACTGGATAGTGGGTTAAATTAATTATTTTTAGGGCCTAAAGAGATAGCTATGAACTGGTTTTACTTTCTAATATTATTCATTGTTCTTGTGATCTTTAGGAAAATTCGGATTTGAATTAAATGTCGATCGAGGCCCAAGAATCCTCGGGAATTGGCAGTGATGACGGTGGTGATTTCGAGTGCAATATTTGCTTCGAGTTAGCAGCGGATCCTATAATCACCGTCTGTGGTCATCTATATTGTTGGCCGTGTCTCTATAAATGGCTACGACTTTACTCTCAATCACAAGGATGCCCAGTTTGTAACGCCTTAATACGAGAGGAAAAGTTGATTCCTTTGTACGGTCGAGGAAAGGTTCCAACTGACCCGAGATCAAAAACCGTTCCCAGCACTGAAATCCCTAGTCGACCGACATGGCAGAGACCAGAAACGGCTCCATCTCCAGGAGCAAGTAACATCTCTAACTTGATGTTTGGATTTATACCGACATTCTCTCCAAATTTCAACGCCCAAGTTCATGGATTTTCGAATGCTGGTGAATATGGTGCGACCCGAGGATATTATCATCGATACTCTCGTCCCTTTCGTGATCCCGAAGGCGAAATCCGTGATAGGGAGAGTAGTAACGTTCAAGAGACAGATGGCATTCTGAAGAGGATTCATTTTGTTGTTTTGGTTCTTGCACTCTTTGCTTTATTGCTATTGTAAATGGATTTAGCTATCGACTTCAGTCAAACGAGTGCGAGAAATGGTAATTTTTATGTCTCTAAAAGTCGTTGTCGAGTGCGATTACGTGCTCGTGATTGAGAATCTCGTTTTACAAATACACTGTAAATCTTAGATATGCTCGACTGGATGTTCATGAATGATGTTCGGAAGTCATTACTGTTCTGCAGGATCAATGCTTCATTAGTAAACACTATGAAGGTAATGTGGGGGTAGAATTAGCTTTGTACAAAGTTGTGTGCATATTGTTGTTGTGAAGGGCGGTCTTGTTGTTAGAATATTATAGATTGTATATTATAGACTTTTATTATTGTTTTACTATCATAAAGTAAATGACCTTATTTATAGGATTACAAATAACTTTAAAATGAAAGATTGTGCAACAGTCACGTAATCAATTATTCAAAAAATAATTTCACAATTGGAAAAATATAATGGAGAATAATATATATAATATTTTCATATCTTCAACATCCCTATCAAGATATTATACGAGTACTTTCTACTAAAAGTTAGTATTTCAGAGACTTTTATAAAAGTCTCCAGAAGTTATTAAAATTTGAATCCCCCAAGACTTATAGAAACTTTTAAAAAGTTTTAGTTGAATAAACCGCAACTTTTAGAGACTTTTTAAAAGTCTTAATTGAATATACCGTGACTTTTGGAGAGTCTAAAAAAGTCTCAATTGAATACCCCTAAACTTTTTAAATCCCAAAAAGTCATTAAAAATCTTAATTGAATACACCCCCTTGATAAAAGTTAATGAAATGTGTGGTTAAAAAGTTCTAGATCCTATGAAATGTGTGGTTGAAATTAATTGTTGATTTTCAATTAAAATCTTGATTTTAATCTTCGTCAAACACAACCATAGGATTTTCATATGATCTAGCGCCAACATGAGAGCAAGGCAAAATTATTTAAGGACAAAACAACTAGGAATCATATTTGCCAAACTGGGACCTTACGTGATGTATGAATTTCTCAATTGCCAAAGTTGACGATTTGATTTGAGAAACTTTTGACAGAAACGGGAAGGCCCATTTGCAGATTTCTCAATCGCCAGAGTTGATGATTTGATTTGAGAAAATTTTGACAGGTAGAAACAGGAAGGCCCGTATCAACAAGAGCTGAATAATGAAATCATCAAATTTTAAGATCAAATCGAAATCGCTTTTTCGAAATTGTCTGTTTGAATTTGCATGGATCCATCAATAATTTAGTTTTGAAGTGATTTGGTTCCCATATTTGCAAATCATTTACCAAAAAAAATAGAAAATTAATTCATTGAAATTTTATCCAACCCAATTAAAATTAAAAATATCCCAATTAAAAAGATACATACATATTAGACATAATCAATTAAACTCAATACGTAAATAGATCATTATTCATCCTAATTAATTAATTAAATCGTATCCAATTATCCAACCCAATTAAAATTAAACATATCCCAATTAAAAAGATGCATACATATTAGACATAATCAATTAAACTCAATACGTAAATAGATCATTATTCATCCTAATTAATTAATTAAATTGTATCCAAATATCCATTAATCAATACAACTCTGATTAGAAAAACTCTCAAATTGGGTGATATATTGACAATTACTGTTGAACCATATTTATTGTCCGTCCAATTAAATTTAAATTTTAATTCAAATTCATAAATTTTTTTTCCTCCACTAATAATTATCTTGAATTTCGATTAAATTTTTGGTTATTTTATCCAGAATGTTTTTATTTTCAGTAATTATTTCCTATGTTTTATTGGTAGCTGTGTATTTTGTTCTAATTTGTATCGAACTCCCTTATCTTTTTAGCGGACAATATTTTTAATTTATTTCTGTCACAAATTACTAGTTAGATCACTAAATTAATTATTTACATTTTAACTTAGTTTTTTAGATTTTACTGTTAAATTCTAAAATGATTTGGTCAATTACTTATATGGTTTTTATTTTATTTATTTATTTATTTATTTTTGAAGATTTGACCAATAAACTTTTCAACATATTAATTTGATAGAAATTGAATGCAAACAAATACAATATTTTTGTCCAAATTGCTAATAATGGGTTAACTATTCAATATCCGTAATTGTTTCTGAGTCTGCATTTCTTACTAGCGATCGACTCCTAGATTCTTTTAGCAGTTCGTTAAGTGCAAATATGCTTGATGTAGTGATTTTCCCTAAATAATGGTTTCAGAGTAACAAGTAACTTACAGTGATTAGTCAATATTTGGATGAGGTAGAAGCATTGAATGATTCACAAGTTATAAAAAGTATTGTCATATATGATCTTCTATTCATTTTCTTTTATTAGTTATTTTATATCATTCAACTGTAACCAATGGATTCATGTACTATCTTGTTATCTTTATGGAGACAATGAATTGTGTGTCACCAATGTAGATATTAGGCCAATTAATATTGAATAAAAAGGTTAAAAATATTTCTATAATGCTATTACATTATAATGATTAGAATTTTAAAACTTAGGCTTGTACTTGTTTTAACGTGAAATTTTATATTAATATTTATGATTTAACTTATTTGATCATATATTATATTTTTTTCTTTTTTAAACCGTGGTTTTCGATTGGTTTGATATAAATATTGAAGCTGTTTAGTTTGGTTTGGAAAAATTTCAAACCACTTTAAGTGGTTTGATTTAAAAACTTGTCACAAATCGTCCAAATCGAATCGTGTTCAGTCCTACAATCAACTATTAAAGAAGATAATCTCGCACAATTAAAAAATGTCATGGAAAATAATCTTTATAATATTTTCATATCTTCAACACTTGTGAAGATGATGTAAGAAATCAAGCACACCATGGTGTTCGAAGAAAATAAACTGCCCTTTTAGCTGGAGAGCGTCGGTCCATTTTTAGTGATAAAGCTATCTCCTAATTAAAGTGAAATTGTGAAAAAGAGGCAGAATGAATGGTTTAAGGAGCGTTCAAATCAGTCTTAATCCTTGCTTAAACATCAGCAGTACCCTACAAAAGATAACCAGTTTTTAAGCAATGAAGAACAGTTCTCTGCATTTCAAAGATAACTTAGAGTACACACAAAAGAAAGCCGAAACCCCACCAGCCCTTCTATTATAGGAAAGATCCAACCTGCCGTTTGGTTCGTAGTTACGAATTACTTAAAACTTAGAATCCAAAATTTCATTCATTCAGCCACTCATGAAACATGGCTTCTAAAACTTGTACCAGCTTCCGTATACTCGTCTTGTTCTTGTTCTTAATCTGTTTACCTCTCTCAAACTCCATTGATTTCAATTACCCTGCAGTTTTCAACTTTGGAGATTCGAATTCCGATACTGGGAATCTTGTTGCTGGCATGGCCGAACAGCTCGATCCACCAAATGGACAGATTTACTTCCAGAAACCATCTGGGAGATTCTGCGATGGCCGTCTGATCATCAATTTTTTGAGTAAAAATTTCTGATTTATTTCTCACTGAATATGTATTATTTTCATTCAATGCAGAAAGCCACATTCTGCCATTATTCTTTCAATTTTTTCCAGCTCTTCATGAGTTGTTCAAAACTTTATATAGCCCTTGTTTTATGCTCATTAAAAAGAAATTTTTTTGGGAAAAATGAGTCTTGGATTAGTGATTATTTGGAGGATGTGTAGTTATAAAGTATGAAAAAGTTTTAAATTTACATATTTTATCGTTTGAATGTGAGATTAAAAAAGTGTTCTAGAAAAAAAGAATTATTGAAGAACGGTGGACAAACATGGGCATAGTGGTATTTTATCGTACTTATTGGGATAGGGAAGGATCTACTTGCATTGTGCTTCTATGTGGTTTTGAAGACAATCCTGCGTAGAATAAGATTGACTTTGTTTGTCCTAAATGAGAATTTGTTTGTTTGTCCTACACTTTCTCGTATGTTCTGCCTAAAAACCAGATTTGATGGCTTTCACATAACAAGTGGCATTAGAGCCGAGCCCCCCCTTTTGTGCCCGACTATGAAAAGACATAGACACCTTTGTATGTTTCAGCTCCATTTACCTGTGGCTACTTTCAGGTCACTTCCTTAAACTCACTTTAAGAACCAAATATCAGAGCGATGAATTTCGATTCAATTAGTCGACCTCAAATTTGTCGAGAATAAGACTTTATTTGTTTGTTGCAGTGGATGCAATGGGCTTGCCATTTTTGAATGCATATTTGGAAGCTATTGGCACACCAAGTTTTAGAAAAGGATGCAACATTGCAGCTGCAGGTTCTAAGATACTTCCAGCTACTGCATCTTCAGTGAGCCCACTTTCATTTGGGATTCAAGTGGCTCAATTTTTCAGATTCAAGGCTCGAGTTCAAGAACTGCAGTCTACAAGTATTTCTTTCCAAGAATTTTTAGTCATGGAATAAAATTATAAGCTACCATTTTATTCTCTATAATAATTTATTATTTTATTTGTTTTGCAGCAAGAAAATATGATAAGTAAATCCAGAGCCGGTTCTGTGTTTGAGGGGCCCTGAGGTGAATGATGAAAATTAGGCCTCCCATCGACAAAATTCAAAGGTGTATTATGCGACTCATTGCTAACTTAAAAAACTAATAGTAAAACAACAACGAAATATATCATAGAAACGATTATATTATAAACCATCAAACCAAAAATTTCAAAAAATTAGTTAAATACTATTCGTCTTGTTATTTTAGAGGCAAAAATATCAATCAAATTTGAATAACTTAGCTGCTTAACCATTTCTTTTTCTATTGATAACATGGCCAACCCGTTTAATCTTTCTTGTGACATAGTTGATCGGAGATAGTCTTGATCAACTTCAATTTCGAGAAACTTCTTTCCGCAGATGCAACTGTAACCAGTACGGTTAACAAAATTTTGTAAGCAATATAAGTATTTGGAAAACAAACATCCAATGTCTTCAAATAGTGTAGCACTTCAATTGCTCTTGTTGCTTCATTTGGTAAATAAATCTTCAAGACTTGTAATTCCAAACATAAATCATCTCCACTGATATCCGAAAGCCCATCATGTTCAAGATATTTCTCAAGATTCATACAAGAGTTCAACAAACTTGATAAAGTTGCACTCCTTAACCTCTTCAAATTAAACAAAAATCCAAATATATCATCATATAGTTTGAATTGTTCAAATCGAGTCCTCAGAGAAGATAGAGCTTGATCAATTATAAAAACAAAGTACTCAACTCTAAATGATTCTTCTGCTGATTGCTTTACCTCATTACTACAGTTTTCATCAAATTGTTTTTTCTTCGAATTATACGTTTTTCTGTAAATACAGCTTCAATTCCCATTTCGTTTGCCTTTTTTGTCGCTTCATCCATGGCAATAGCAAATCCAATTTCTCTATAATTTTCAAGAAATGAAACAAGTCCTTGCAATAGGTCGACAGCATGATCAATATCCATGGATTCGGTTTGAAGAAATTTACTCACAATATTGACTGCATGCCTTGGTCAAGTTTACACTACTTTCAACAAAATTACCAATCAACTTAATATGGGAAGCTTCCCATAAGCCGAATGTGATCGAGCATTGTTTTTATACCATACTTGAGCACTGCCTTGTTGCCTTTTCTGAAACCATCTCCATATGCTGTTGATGTATCTGATTCAATCTGGTGTTTGAAAAATTGCCTTTTTTCTCAAACTCAGACCTTTTTCCCTCTAGAAGAACTAGATGAGGAGGAAGACGAAGAGGATGAAGTCGAAGCAACATTACTACGAGAACCAGCTATAATTTTGGAATCCAACCACATATGAGCTAACACTTGGCAGATACTTTCTTCAACTTCTGGACTTAGATTAGGGTCGACACAGTTGCTAATTCTAGTTAGGCATATTGCAAAGAAGGGAGATGCCAGGAAAAAATGTAAAGCATGTTTGACTAAGCTTAATAAAAGGTAAGAGTTACTCTAAAGTAACTACTGTTTCCTTTCACTACTTTAAAGTGAAAATTTCTACTTATTTTGAAAATAGTTCTTACCTTACTCTGAGAATATGTTGTTCAATTCTAGCTTAAACACCACAAAAAAATTTATTTAGTCTAAACTTCTGTATTTACTTGTAATAAACTTCTAAAGCATAGCAGACAACTTTATAGTACAAAGAAAGAGTACCTTTAAGTTGCAGCCACTCATGCATCATCTCATGAACCAGGATGAACCCAGTCAGTAACCTGAATTGACGAGAGGATTTTTTTTCAGTTTGTCCAAGTAATTGAAAGCATCAGGAAAAGCTACAGGTGACAAGAAGAAACAGGCTTAATTAGGAAGACCATACAAAATAAGAATCGCTGTCACTTCACACTGATGGACTAGCTTATAAAGCTCGGTGAACATGTCAATTATTCAAAACCCTCCAATCCTTGGCTGCCTCAAAGTCTGAATTTATTTGCATAAAATAAGTATAAAATTCAATCTTAGAGAATATAAGACTGTATATAAGCGGCAATATTATCTCATGAAGGAAAGTCATTATTGGATAATATTCATACTATTCTAACTATAACCTCTTCTGACAAGCAAAGTCCACGAGTCTCGGGCATTTCATGACGACCCTGGCCATAAGGCATACATTACAAGCATCTATGTAAATACTTAAAACAAAATTGCTGAGATGTAATATACACTAAGGAGGGAACTTGCATTTATCAATTCTTAAAACTTTAATCTTTATAGCCATCTGATTTTCAATTAAAACCTTCCAATTATTGAATTTTTCAAAAGTTTTAGAATTATGTTTTAAAAGAAAAACCCACACTTTCTTGAAAAATCATCAATTATTGAAAGAAAATATTTTTTCCCACCTTGTGACCCAACCCGTCCCGAATCATTCTAGCGGACTCGAAACGTGATGTAAGCTGATGATAGATGCTGACTAGATATCAAATCTATCACCAAGACTGATAATGAATTACTACAAGAATGAGCTAAAATCAAATGCTTATGTAAAATACGATGGGTATTTATAATATCATCTTATCAAACCACATGTAATCTACAAAAAATGTACCCTTTGATAGAAATCTATAATCCACCCGTCGGGCTAAGAAATTTTGCCATGAGCCTGTGGCCCCCTTCATGAAAGAAAGCGGGTCTTAAGGACCTCTGATGATCAATTCTAGAATACGATCAAAACCTCTCAATGAATTATATGTACACGGTTGAAACTCCTTCTTATATGGTCTAAGACTCCTTAGTGTAGTATAGAATCGGGTCAAGGCCTCTCAATGAACTACAAAAAATATATGGTCATGGGTACTTTTCTGGTCGATCTCAATGTCACGTCTCATTTCCACCTTAAAAATGTACCATTTATAATCTTTGAAATTCCACATTTATCATAGTAAAAGAAACTTTTGTAGGAATCATACAATTGAACAAATAATTCACATAGTTGCACATCATTTAGTAATATACTAAATTTATAAATACTTTGAAAATATTAAAGTTTTTTTCCACTCACAAATGTATGTATGGATAGCAATCCGATCAAATTGATGGGAATTTCCAAGCTTTCACGTCACTACCTGAAATAACGGTATAATAACTCAAATTAAAATGTGACAATTAAACTAATATAAATCTACCACGTAATTCGCTTGACTTCTATATTTATTCTTGCCTCTCTATTTCTTTAACTTTTCATACCTTCAAATATTTACTAACAAATCACCAAACATGATCAAATCCATTAAATCAATATAATTTCTTAAAATAGCAACCTTATACCATACAAACCTTATGCATTACCTAATTCAACACCTAAACTTCAATATTTATCATTCAATTTCATTGAACTTGTAAAATCTAAGAAAATAAAGTTTTGATAAAAACAGCAATAATATTTCAGCGTACTGTAATCTGGCACCTGTTTCTGTATATTGAAAAATAGCACCGAAACCATTGACAGAATAGCACCTTTTTGGCAGAATTTTTGAAACAACACTTGTGTGCTACAATTGCTCGAAAAATAGCTTAAAATTGCTCTAAAAATTGAAAAATCAAACCTCAAATCCTTAAATTAAGAGTTTTAACACCACAAAATCACAAGAAAATCAAAGAATATGTCTTTTTCTCGTGA